CGCTGGTAGGGTAAAAAGATTATGAGACATGTAGAGGCTCCTTAAGAGCAAAATGACGATTTGTAAGAACTATTTATTAGTCTAAACAAATAAAGAAATTTTGAGCTTGACTTTGACTTTAGTGTAAACGAAGCATAAAAATGATATCATCATAAAATCTATTGAGGTAGCGAGAAGCCATGACGTCATAACCTGTCCGCACTCGGCTCACCTACTTTACACCCTTGTGGCAATCACCCGGGCGTGCATGTCTTGCTACGAAGTTACACGTTACGAGCTACGAGCTACGGTTTAGCTACGAACCCGACCAGTACCTCTAGTACGAAAACTTTCGAGTTCGTTTCGTTTGCGTATTCAAAGTGTCATCGAAAAATTTTGTATGAAAAATTAAACAGCGCCCCCTAGCCTCGTAAGCCCGGATGTGCCTCAGAAGGAACTGAAACTTTGTAGTCAGTAACGCCGAGACATTTTCGGAGGTGATTTCGAAGTATCGCCGGATGTGCCTTCAGAGGAACTAAAACTTTAGCGATAAATTTAAGTTCAAAAATTCGCGCCTATCGAAAAAAAAGAGTGATAGTCTATGGCTTAAAGTATTCAAAATCAGGTATCCGAACTTATTAATATAAAAAAACAAAATGTCACTGTCAAATTATCATTTTTCTTTGACAAGGTGGTTCGTCCGAGAAGACATGATGTACGATTAATTTTTTTTCTTCACGTAAACGTAGTTTAATTGCAAAACTGACCAGTATAATTTAAGTTAAAATACTGCTAAACAAGCAAAAAAATTATTTTTCCCAATTTGAAGTAGTTTTGTAAGATTTTTTTTCGTTTGAAAATAATTTTGGACTTTTAAAATTATGATATGATTGAGAAAATTTACCATGAGAACGTTCTGATTTTTAGTTTAGTAAATATTATAATTAACATGAATATTCACTTTACTTCTTGTACATTTTAACCTATCATTAGTGTATGTTATAAAACCGACAGTACTTTTAAAAGTACTAATTATGAGACATTAAATAAAATGAAAACCGTTGTTCCTTTTCAGTTATATTTATTAATATCGTTATTGTATCTTTATGTAGTATTAATTTATTAAGAAGGTTACATTTATGTTTTACTTTAAAGTATAAAATACAATTTATTTACTTTTCCTTTTTAAAGTCTGTAATACCGAATGTTCTTTTAAGAGAAAACATTTTTTTATTATTTTTCACCTAAAATAAGCTCTATGCACTATTATATAGAGCCCCAGAAAATATGAATGCAAAAGAAAATCTCTAACATAGAATTTTTTTTACTCGAAGTGCTCGGCGTTTACTACTTCAAATTATTCGTTCTTCTGAAAGCACATTCGGCGATACTTAGAAGTCGACACAATTTACTCTTCGGTCTTACGAGGCTAGGGCGGCTATAATATAGTTATTATTTATTACTTAAAAGGATGATTAATGATCGTTTGATGGTTATATTAGGGTCTTTAAAAATGTAAACGTAAGTTTTTTTTACGATAATAAAAACGATTTAGTCTAATTAAATAATTTACTTCTCTCTTCTTTCTTTGGTGTGCAATAAAGAATATTAAGTATTATTATTTACATAGTTTAAAACAAGGCATTTAATTTAGAATTAACTCCTACAGTACCTTTAGAAGTAATTAAAGAAACTGCGTTTTATTTCAAATCTAAGTTGTCGTTACTCTTTCATCAAGGTCTTTGTTCGTCAACGTTTTGCAAAGCCTTTGACTGAGGTACAAAGAGAGTCTGACCTATGACACTTAAATTAAAACAACAATTACAATTAGCGTCGGATCGTTTGAAGTTTGAGCCCTGAGGCTTCCAAAGTTACTGGTAGGGGAGGAGGAGGAGACCTTGTAAAAGAGGATAGTTGTGACACTGTCGATGTATTCCTTATTTATAACCTTAATTTCGAACTCATATGTTCTTCTGATTAATTTCGTTGTGGGTCCAATGACAGTTTAACTTTCCCCCGGGACAAACTTGACCTTCATTGGTTGGGTTTTTGTGGCGGCCAAGCTGTAGATCCTGGCTACACAGGAGTTGCAGTGGTGGGAACGAGAGGTGGGAATAGTCCCGTTTTGTCGTTGTATGAAAACCTATCAACTATCACCGAGCTCGCAACAGCACGTAATTGTTAAAACTCAACAAGACTTGAACTAAAACCGCGCACTGTTTACTGTTAGGAGCTCGCTAGTCTATATTTATAAAAGCGAAAGGTCACTGACTGACTGACTGACTAATTAATCGCGAAATCTCAGAAACTACAAGTGCTAGGAGTTTCAAATTTTGCACGGGGGTCCTTTTAGAACGTAGGTGGCTCATTAAGATGGGATTTTGCAAAATTCAACCCCTAAACGGGATCCACGTGTACGAATAGTCATGGGCGGCCGCTAGCAGTTAATATAAGTTCAAAAAAATCGATAATATCACAACTCACCTCGGTCTCCCTTACTGTAACTGTATTATAAACGTTGTCAAGAGTTGACTGTGTAACTTCGGAGTTTATTGTAGAGTGGAGAGTTTTCGAAGAAAATTAGGCAATACCAACTTGAAATGAAGAATTTGTAAGGCTTGTTTTGATGAGGTTTCTGTTGGTTTTGAGATGGAAATTAAGTATGCACGTGGAAGGAGAATTCCGGTTATAATAATGCTAGTAGCATTATGCTCTGATTGTGCCTAGTTTCTCGGCAGGCGAGGATTTAGTAATAGAACGCTGTTGTAGCCTATGTGTAGCCACTAAAGAACTTTTATTCTCAACTTACAAAGGAAGTTTCGATTCTTAACTGTTATTTTTAGTTTAACTCCGGTATACTTACTTATATTTTTATTGGCAGCAAGATTTCTCCTTCGATGACTGAGCTCCATTCGCCAAACCAACTCTTTTTTTCTACTGTGCAAATTGCTCATACAAACCTTTTGTGGTGACAGGTTGAAGTATAGCAACACTATAAAGTGGTGCGTTAGGTATATCTGTATTATTTAAAATTTTCTAAGTCAATAACCTATTTGCTAGAGTTTCGTTCGTTCGTTTCAGCCAAATGACGTCCACTGCTGGACAAAGGCCTCCTCCAAGGTTGCTAGAGTTTATAATATAGTATTTATAATATCTACTAGTACTTGGCTAAGAATATCATAATTAATTATTCAGTTTTCATAAGCTTTGATGAAATTTTACGTCATATAATTTATCATTTTGTAGTGAGAGCTTAACTAATTCCATCGCATGACATTTGAACGTTATCCTCCTTTGAATAATATTAAAAGTAAGCATTCCAGCTGCAATTTCAAAGGATAAATTGATTTAGTTAGCTGGAAGAGTCTATTTTTGCAAGTGCGACACTAACGAGTTTCTCGATAGGTCGCCCGATAATGGTGGACTGAAATAACCGTTTTGTATATTTAGCGGGAAGCCGATCCTTTAGGGCAGGTTAAAGTTTCTTAATCATTGATATAAAGACTGGTTAATTCACTGGATACTGTGAAATTATAAACCTAAGTCATTGGGAGAATATTTAATTTTCAATAGAGTTACTAGCTTTAGAAACTACGAAAATAATATTCAAAGCTTCAATGTATAGTATATTCTATTAGACACATTAATTAAATTATTTCCGTTAGGGCTGATTTTTCAATCGTCGGTTAACTATTAACTGAAGAATAAGTTTAGCATATTGACAGTTTTAATATAGAAAATACCTATGTCAAAATGGCAAGTTTATTCTTCAGTTAAAAGATATCTGACGATTGAAAAATCTGCTCTTAATCTAGCTTTCATATACACACTGTACGGATATTGTATAACGCCACTATACGTTATTTAATAAAAGCTTATTTGAGAGGATTTAAGGTAAGGTAAGGAGAATAAACAATTATGAAATTAGAGTTCGTCTTTTATCTTTCTGATCTAATGATTTTAAAAGGATTACAAAAAGTCCTAATGCCATAATAGTTAATTTCAACCAAGATTCTGAATTATAAGAAAATATGGGAATTTTAATAAAGACCTAATCTGTCGTCAATACTTACACCTTCAACAAGTTGCACAGGCTTGTCATAATAAACAATGCCTCAAAACTTCGCAGCCACGCTATGTTCGAAACAAAGTCTAAGCACTTCGAAACTTCTTCAATTTAGAAAATCTATAGAAAACCTGCCCATGGAACGTGCCTTCGAAGTTATTGTGTCGTCTGTTATCGAACTTCTGAGTGTTATCAATATTTCACACGGTTCAAGTCGAAAGTTGGTCATCTAAAAAATAATGGAGCGCCGGAAAAGTTGGACAAATTGGAGCCCCGTCAGACCTTTTGTTTAGGGCACGCGTCAGCGAGATCAATCCAATCCCCACTGAATTGCTTTTAGAAATCGAGTTGCTACTTTTTAAAATGAGCTGCGGGAGGGACTCGTTACAAGTCCGATTATTGCTTTTATCTCGATTCTTTGGGCGTTTTCGCGAGCAATAAAAAGTTAATGTGATAGCGAAAATTGCTAAAAGGAAATTCTACGAATCACGGATTCAACAAGCTCGTAAATTCAAATATTGAATTAAATAACTTTTTTATGAAGAGATATCAAAAGATGTGGCTTGTTATCATTTATTTTGTTGATGTGTCCACGCGTCCCGCGCACGGTCCCGAGGGCGGTGGCGTGTTTTCCCAATTCCACTCTGTAATGAGCTTTCACCGAGCCTTGTTCAATTCAATGAAGATAATTGGCAAAAATGTTATTGTAATTTCCCTTTGAAGAGATGGTGCTCAAAACAATAATCAGTTGCTCTTCAAATACCAATTCTCCTATAGTATTATTAAACTCCGGCTTCGCGGGGATTTATGTTTAAGGCTAAATTATTACACAGAGAGGGCTAAGGAAGAATTTAGCTTATCTTCGAGCAGCAGCAAGCCTCGGCATAAATCGGCTCGCGACCGCCGAGGGGCGGAATGTCGGTGGTGATTTAATGAAAATGCCGTAAAACATCGATAAAAACTTTTATTGATAAAAGACGACTGGATGCCGCCTTCGTCTATTAAGCGTACGTTTCTCCCAACGTCTCCACCTTAATGTCTGCTAGGTATATGATAAAATTTTAATTGTTTAATGGTAACATGGATTACAAGACACAGATTGTCCAACGAGACGGGGCGGGGTGGGGCGCGCGGGGGACCGCACGAGGCGTAGAAATGCGCGCCCGCAATCACGAATATAATTCTCTATCTAACATTAAGTCAATATTTGATCGCTAATATCAAAAAATTTACAATGAAAATAGAATTTACTCTAAAAATAATATCACGCGTAGCGGGCGTCGGTCGTGAGTCGACTCTGGACGACCGGCGCCCGCGCGTAGTCTATCACATTGAAAGATTCATAAAGTACAAAGGTGCGCTCGGGCGCACCTACTCGCTCGCGCCGTCTGAGACGTGAGCTTTATTTGACAACTATAGGTAATAATTTACAAGAGTTTAAACGCGTCGCGGCGCTTACACGAAGAGGTCCTTTATCGAGGAGCAGAGCGTGGCGTCGCAGCCCTCGGCCGCCTCCTCCTCCTCGGGCCTGCACCAGCGCTCGCCCGCGCGCGGCGCCCGCGCCGGCCCTGGAATGTCACGTGGCTTGGGACGATCGTCCCCTACTTTTCCAGTTTCCTTTATCACGGCCATGCTCGAGGAGCTAGGACCTGGGTCACCTGCACCGCTCTTTCTCAAAAACACCTCAATGGCGCTACCCAGAGCGCTGGCATCTACCACCGACCCGGACGGACGATCCCACACGACTGCCGCTGCGTCTCCCGGGGCCTGTTTTGAGTCGGGAGCAAAAGTCACCTTTCCTTTCTTTGGCTCGTTTTCCTTTTTCTTCGTGGCTAAAGTCTGGTGCCGTCGTGTGAACCATGTGGTGCCGGAGTCCAGGGGCTTGTCTCGCAGGGTGGAGGCGTCAAAGCTGCTGGAGCGCATGTCAGCTAGGCGCCTAGTGCGTTCTGGTTTGCCGCAGCGGTCTATCTCGGTGGCCGAGGATGTGAGCGCATTGAGCATGTGATGGAGGTCGGTGTCGGTGCACACGACGCCGGCGCCCGTGCGGGGCGGGATGGGAGGCGGCGGCGGCATCTCGGAGGCGCGGCGGCGCGCCGGGATCGGCGGCAGGGGAGATCCCACGAAGTCCGAGTGCCGACGACCACGATTTGTGTACCTCACGGAGCCACTCATCGGCGAGCGTTCGTCCAGAGGTTGCACCTCACAGACGCGTTCGTTCGAGGTGTTCCAGAGACGCATACGGACTTTACGTGCTTGCACAATGTCATCCATTATATCCAGCTGCAGATTGTGAGTGCTTCCGAGTGTGTCGATGGCTGGTAGACCTGTAAAATAGTTTACCTTAATCCTTTATTAAACAATTCAAGGAGTTTATATGATCGGAATTTGCAATCTGAACAGGGTTAAGTGTTTGGTATACAAATAGCTCACATTTTTTAGATCCTGAGTCGCGGCGACGGCCGAGAGCCGGGAATGCGGCGATGGACTCGCGGCGTCCGCGCCCGAACAGTGCTTGTGGTACTCTAGATATTGTCACAACGGAGTGCCTGTAACAAAACAAATAATTGTAGAACAAGTACTTGGGACTAAGCACTCGGGAAATGTAATTTAGTGACATATACCTTCGGCCTCCAGGTTGGGGCGGAGCTTGGCTTAGAGTAGCCAAGAAAGCTGCTTCGCGAGCTTCTCGTGCTGCACCCTCACCTCGTTCAGACAAACGACGGACCTACGTAAAAAACATTAATAAATCAGTGCAGTACTTCGACTCGGATCGATGGTGATTGAGAGGCCTTGAACTTAACCTCAAATGTACCATGACCTTGACCCATTGGTGGTGTTTTCGTAATCTAGTTGTCATCGGTTTCCAGGAATGTACTGAGTGCATTAGAGCTTTAGCATTTATATTGCACGCGAGGGTGACCGGAGGTATGCAGTATGGCGACTGTTGGTCTAAAGGTCATTATTTCTGTAACCTAGCTCTATAAAGTGAATAGAATATTTGTTTTCGTTACATGGCATCGACTTTTGCAGGAAGAGCAACATCGACTCTTGGAGACGCAGATAAGGTCGTTATGTACACGAGCACAAGCAGTATATGCAGTATGACTTCTTGCTACAGGTACCTGGCTGGCAGTGGGTCTAGTGGTCCACAAGGAGTTGCTTGCTACATTTACCTGGCTGGCAGTGGGTCCAGTGGTGCACGACGGCGTCGGAAGCGAGTGCTTGCGGGTGTCGCGCCAGGGCGACAGGTGGTAGGGGTCCGGCGGGGACTCCTGGTCGATGGAGAGGCCACGAGCGGGCGCGCTGGACCGCGGGGATGACTCGGCATCCTCGGAGCCACTTTCCTCCACCACGATCAGCGGCTCGCCGCCGCCAATCATTGCCATTGACCCGCGCCGCATCATTGCTGGATGGGGAGAGAAAGATCAGCATCATCATCAGGCATACAGGTCAACGGGCAGGGCGTATGTTGACGAGCCGATTCGGTGTCTATATTATCCGGCATCGAGCTGGTTTGTCAACACACTCCTGTATGGTATTAGTGATATGGCACCGATGCGTACGTACCTAAATCTATATATATAAAAATGAAACCCGTTTCGCGTTGTCATGGCATCACGTGTGAACGGCTGAACCGATTTCGATAATTCTTTTTTTTAAATGTTTGTGGAAGTCCAAGGATGGTTCTTACGGAAAAAAATATTAAGAAAATCTCTACGCTAAGGCGGTACGAAGTTCGCCGGGTCAGCTAGTATACATATAAATAAGTTATATTTAAAGCGATAAGAGCTGGAAGTAATGTTATAACTTTATAAGTTATAGCAGGCCTGTTCATCTCCGCGAGTTTACATCGAAAACAAAACACGCACGATGGCCCACCTACAGGATACTATTCGACAAGGCCTCACATACGAGCGAACATTGACTCACGCACGCGTATTCTTGTGTATGATGGAAGAAAATAAAGAAAATGGTGTACTAAATACTGTGCAGTATTTAACTGCCTAAATAATAATAAAAACACAGAATGTACTTTTTTAAGTTGCCTCAAGACACTGAGAGGTAAATAAGTAGTTAATATTATTCATGATAATTCATGCTAAATCATGTATTTCCTCCGCCATTTTCCGCAGTTTGGCACCTCACGTCACATCATTTTACCGAAGTCAGCCCTATAGCTTCGGCGCAGTGCCGATCACTGACGTTTGTCAACAAAATGGTGCTTGACTCTTGAGACAGGCTAAATTACACCATATTGTTAATGACATTGAGCATACATTTTTTTAAATACCTTCGCGAAGTAAAACTTCTGTACGTAGTACTTATTATTATTCTGTGGTAGTACTTATTATTATTCTTTGGTTATAGTAGTTCCATGTATGCGTGTTTGTCTTGTTGGTTGTCCTAATAAATAAAATAAATAAATAAAATAAGTTGCATACTACGAGTAGTCTTAATTGAGATACATTTTTAAGCTGGCAACACACAGTTTCCCTACAGTTCAAAGAATTATTTCTGAATAGTGTCCATCCCGTATTGAACAACATGCAACTCTGTAAATTAACAATCTATCAAATCTATAACCAATCATTCTCCATTCAATCCGAAATACTTGGAACCTTGTTAACTTACCTAACAAATTACCTAGCTGTTAGGCTGGAAACGAAGCTTTTCAAAAGCTGGTTTAAATTCATAGACGGAAAATGTAATTAATAAAAATCAGTAGGCTTGTTTACCTTAATTCCGTTCACAAAGCTGACCCTTTAATTTATATTTACTTTAGTAACCGCCTCGGCTTTATTAATTTCTAATTGCCGCTACAAAGCTGAATTAAATAAAAGGAATTTTCCGATTAATCCAAAACATTAATTTTCATTGCGTTTTACCTTTTCCTTTGGCTGTTTCGTGGAACGATGTTTGTTGAAATCAAACGATTCTTCTTTAGACAAGGACCCGAAACCTTCAAAATGTTATAAAACTTTGAAACTAGATTAGGCGGAAAGTTAGACAATGACTTATCTCATAATTTGTCAAACTTCACAGGCAGGTTGACGTTCGTTAAGGGTAACACTGTAGGTTCTTATTATACTAATTATTATTGTTGCTAACTGAGACATTCCACTGGATGTCAGTGATTAGCATTTATTATGACTCGCGATTTTACCTGTGTGTGTTGTAATAATAATGCTTTAAAGCATGTATTTTTCTGAGTAATAACTACGTTCATAGTTTCATGAAATTCTGTCGTTTTCACGTTGGCAATTTCCAAAGCTCTAATTGGAGTTTAAATAATAGTTCCATTAGCATTGCAGCTAGAAACACAAATGTTGATAATTTTCAATTTTAAATGAACGTAAAATTATGTGGTTAGCTGTCCCTAATTAGACTGTGCCCGTGTATAAAAGCCACCGAATGCATAATTTAATATTATGATGTATAAATATTTGACTCATTAATTATGTACAAATTAAATCATACTGTTGTGATGTGACCGCAAAATAAATCTACTGGCATATGAATTGCTTGATTTGTAGCAGATTTTAAAATACGTTTAGTTTAACTTAAATAGGTATAGGATGCTAGGTGACAAGACAAATACCTACCTAATTCAAAATAATGATTTTTAGAGAGATAACGTCTCAGTAATCAACTAGTGGAACTTCACCCTGAAAACTTCAATAACTTAACTTTATAATTTCTATAGCTAATCTAGTGATCTAATTAGAATATATTGCATATCCTAATTCAAAATAATGATTTTAGAGAGACAACGTCTCAGTAATCAACTAGTGGAACTTCACCCTGAAAACTTCAATAACTTAACTTTATAATTTCTATAGCTAATCTAGTGATCTAATTAGAATATATTGCATATCCCTCAATTCATTATGGCCAATCATTAATCGTAGTATGTATTAATAAATAGATTAAAATGAATGATAAAACCTTAAGGACAACTCCTTATTGGGACTATTCTCATTCTCATTCCCATAGCTACGACTCCTGTGTAGCCAGAATCTACAGCTACTTAGAGCTCGACTACCAATTAAACTTAACCAGTGAAAACAACTTTTCAACGATCACATTAATAGGTAATTCTCTCAAGATAACTTTGTTTTAGTCAAGTACGAAACAAAAACAAAACTTTAAAGTGAATACTATGGCACTTTATGTAATTGTAATAGATATTATGATTTTGCAACAATAACGTGTTGTCGTCTGTACAAACAAAACAATACATAAATTTTTCCAACAAAGGTTTTGCTTCTGTTATTCGTTGTTTTTCAGCCTAATAATGTCAAAAGAAAGTAAATAATGAGCATGTTTGTTTCACTTTCAGCATATATGTCAGAGAAGTTGTGTTTGCTTAGCAAAAATACATATTTTATTGACACAAGAAACGTATTTTAACGTCCCGAAGCGAGTAACCTAAATTAATCACTGTTGATACAATGTCACGGTTGGCTCTGGCTGACCTAGTTCTGGTGAAATGGTTCAACAAATAACATTGCAGGTAGGTATTTATTGTAGGGTATGATTTCGGAGCCTCGCACACTCGAATAACAATGTTATTTTGTGAACGCACACAGACCTCCTGCCAAATTGAAGATTGCTTTCCCAAATAAGCTGTACGTAGAGCTTTGGCACGGCTAATTATGAAATCAAAACAATTTGATACTAAAAAGTTATTGAGTTAAATTAACATAATGTAAATCATCATTTTAATCTTTACTACGGCGGAGTTGCACCACCTAACTTTAACCGTGACTGTACAGATAACCGGTGTACTTTGTATGGAGTTTGACAGATTTTTGACGTTTGTTAAAGTCTAAGTAAGATGGTGCAACCCAGCCTTAGTTACGTGTTGTTATTATACTTACTTCTATATCAGTAAGTACTTACATATTATAATAACCTCTGACACCTAATCTACTTAACATGGATGACATTTCGGTTCATGTCCTTATTTAGCCAGCTCATCCTCGAAACATCGTGGGCCTATAACGAGCTGTCATGAGTTCCCATGGGAGCAGGGTTCCCATATTTTTGGATTAAATAGATTCTTGATGGTTAAGGACATTTTCTGGCTTTAGGATTTATTTTGATGAGCATTATCGTAACTTGACATGCTCTTTATAAAACGTAACCAATTTACTAGCTTAAGCATCAACATTTACAAAATGCCACTTTACAACTAACAATAAGTACCTATTGCTGAATAACATTACATACATTGGCTTCAGTACATTAATAGTAGAACCAGTAACATTAAATTAACGTCGTGGTGCTAAGTTTTAGCGTACAAACAAAAGAAAAGCGTAAAACCTGTATTCTTTTCAACAGTTTTTTACTTGTCACTCGGAATACCGGGCGTTAGATGCATTTTTAATTAACTATGTAGTACGCTCAGACTTGTTTTTAATTTTCAGAATGATTGCCAAGATGGTAGCGTAAGGGTCCGATTCGGAAAATTCTTATGTGACGGTCGAGCGCTATTAGCTGAGGATATTACTGCCACGTTTTCGATTAGATTGGAGATTAAATCTGCCTAATCTCAGCACTTGCTTGCAATTGGTTTCGTCGTTTCAGCCAAATGACGTCCACTGCTGGACGGCCTCCCCCAAGGTTTTCCACAATGAACGATCCTGCGCTGCTCGCATCCAGGCTCTTCCCGCGACCTTTACCAGATCGTCGGTCCACCTAGTAGGAGGGGCAATTGGTTTGTTCCCGAAGAATTGTCTTCGCAGGATTTATTGGGGAAACATTCGGTATATGTGAGATTGGGCGAGACTCGACAATACGCAGTGGATATTTTCTTCTTTTTCCTTATGATTAAATAAGTTAATCACACCATTTCGCCATTTCGCCTCTAAACAACATGGGGCTTGACGTTACGCTTTATTTGTCTAAAAGAAAAATAAAAATTAAAACGGTTCAATTTAGGTGGTCTAGTTGGTAGAGCCATCTCTTCCAGACGTGTAATAATTTATTTCTTAAAATTGTTAAGTTTTACGAAATAAATTATTACACGTCTGGAAGTTTTAGAAATCCATGTGGCAACACTNTTTACACGGAATTCCCAAACTTAATGTAAGAAATAAAGAAAGAAATAGACTTTATTGAACACAGTAAGCACAAATTATAAACAATAACAACACAAAACGAATATAGAAAATAGTAAGAGGATGTTTTATAAGGAGAACTCGATTTTACTGGGTATGACCTGAACCCACGATTTCTCGATCTTCTGAATGATTGATTGCTCTAGACATTGTAGTATATTATTTGCAGGTATGTTCCTGTCACCTGTGAAAGGTAACGTTGATGGAACGACACTGGGTCATAGAGTAAAAATCAGTTTAACAATTTTTAAAGGGTAACCAATGTCGTTTTTCGTTTGGGCAC